TGACGTTCCTAAACTTGTTCATTATTTATTAACATATTTTAGGAATAACAGTGTTTCTTCTATAAATCCACTTTTGACGACACTGCGGTTTTATGCTACATGTGGCCATCAAATTGCAAAGGAGATTTTATGGGAATCCACCAATCGGCAGTTTCAAGAATAATTACTAAAGTCTCACAAGAAGTCGCCAGATTGAGTCCCCAGTATATTGAAATGCCAAATCGTCAAGAACAAATTCATATTCAAAGTAGATTTTACGACATATCTAGATTTCCACGTGTAATTGGGTGTATACATGGAACACATATCAAATACAAAATCCAAGTACAGTTGATATTTGCTAGGATTATTTTATTAATCTTGTTTTTTTTTATATAGGGCAAGATGATGGTGAGGTTTTCAGAAACCGAAAAGGATATTTTTCCATTAATGCTCAAGTTGTTTGTGATGCCAACTTAAACATAAAGGATGTGTTGGGAATAGAACATTTTTATGTGCCGCGTGTGTGCTCGCTGGAGACCCTTTGCGTACGTTTCAGTGTCAACTGCCTGGATGAAAGACGAGGCTGGTAAGGGAACGCTCCGAGCCGGCAGTATGCGTGCAATTGTCAGTGAGAGTGCACGACCATAATAAAAAATAAATACAAAATTTACCGTATTGTCTGTAAAAACGAAAATAAAACAAGTAACTACAGTCCACCAGCAGTTTCAATATCAAACATGGTCCATTCGAGCCACATGATGTGCTAGAAGAAGAAAACGTTTTTGGAGACAAGCAACAGGTGTTATTGCCGGAGCAGGCCAAGTGGGAGTCGCCGCGTGGAGTAGCATTAACTACGAGTTTCTCAGGGCGAGAAAAGCAGTCAAGTTGCAACAAAAAAAAGAGTTGTTGGATGCCACAAGCAGCAAGAGGTGAGTCGTATCCTTTTCAATTTCCTATTATTTTGTTCCTATAAAAATAAAAGGGTTATTTACGATTTCCCTCACAATTTCAATATGGCGTCTCAAGACGAAATCAATAAATTAATCCGTAAACGGGAATCCATAAATCTTTAACAAATTTAAAAAATTTCGTTGAGAAAATGCAAATGAAACAAGATTTAAGTGATGTAGAGGTTACACAAATGCAAGAAAGGCTCCGTAGAGCACAACAATTTTTTGATGAATTTATTAACATTCAAAACGAAATAGAATCCATTGTGGATGATCCAACGGAACAGTTTTTGCAGCAGGCGAGTTTCGAGGATGAATTTTATGACATAACGTCAATTGCAAAAAAATTATCGGAGTATTCAGTGGAAAGCAACGACGCTGCAAGCAATCATTCTGGATCGGAAGCAAATGACGGTTCTTTTACAAAAATACATGTGGTAAAATTGCCAGTGATAGATTTACCAAAATTTTCGGGCAAGTTTGAAGAATGGCTTGAATTCCGCCGAACATAGCGCAATAGCAGTATCTGCTAAGTAGCATGTAGCGCTCTATCTGGCGCGGACAACCATCGACCACAATTTCATAGAACATAAATCACAGTATGGTGTATCTGTGACTAGCTATTGTCCCATGATCATAAAAAAGAAAATTTGTTAGCTGTATATGCTACATCGTTTTAAATTTTAAAACCTTTTCAAGCAGCATTTTCGAGTATTTGTAAGGTACGTATTCTCCAGATACTGGCTTGTATATAAAAGGTAATATATGTACGTAAAAGGTAGTATGTATATGTAAAATGTATACAAAAGGCAATGAAAATTGAGAATAAATTTCAACTGTTAGTAATACCATTTTGCTTTCTAGATGGATATAAACGAACTTTTTGAAGATGACGCTAATTTGGTAGTTCTAAATCACAATTTTTTGCTAAATCTAGTCGAGCCTCATAGAGACGCAATACAACCTATGAATGTAGAGGAGGATCATAATCCTCCAATACGGATTGAGAGATATTATGAAGACACAGTTCCCCATTATAACATGGATGATTTCCAGAGACATTTTAGAATGTCTCGTAAATTGTTGGACTTATTTAATAAAATATTAATCATAATTATTTCTCATAATGGGTTAGACGCTGTGCCAGGACATTGGTAATAGGTTACCTGTTTACCAGGAGGGACTAGATAAGAAGGTTGCATTTGTAGTTTGGATGTTGGCTAACCCTAAAACTTTTCGTGCATGCTGTGATCGATTTAATTATGCGAAAAGCACAGGGCATACTATATTTTGTGAAGTTATTGATATTTTGTCGCAGATGCTACCGCAACAAATTAAGTGGCCTAACAAAGAAGTGAATCGCACGGCTACTGTGTTTCAGGAGAGAACGACAAAAATCAGGAATGAAAATTTAATCAACGAGAATATGCATTTATTGGGAGACAGTGCATATCCTCTTATAAGAAATCTGTTGACCCCATTTAAGGACAATGGACGTTTACTTCCAATACAAATTAATTACAATTTGAAATTGAGTAGTGCACGTTGTAAAATTGAGCAGGCCTTTGCACGGTTGAAGGGAAAATGGAGGCGACTAAAATATCTAGATATGAACGTTGAAAATATTCCTAATACCATTGCAGCAGCCTGTGTATTACATAACTATACATTAGGAAGGGAAAGAGATATTGAAAACTATGGTGATAACGAACCTGACGACATTGCACCGAATGACGAAAATCAAAATATTGACCATGAAAATAGAAATATGGCCCAAGAAAAACGTAATGCAATCATGGATATGATATTTTAATTGATTCATGGTATTGATATAGTTGCTCCAAGAATCCAGCCGACTTACATCATACGAACAAATGAATAATTTGTTCAAAATATTTAAGAAACTACAAAAGAGAATAATAAAGTCATATATTACACTAAATATTTACACTATATATTACACTAAATTATAAAAAAATAATGTTATTAACGTAACAAACAATGGAAATTTATGTTGACAATTAAAACAATTGCGCAATAATAAATTACTTATATTAAACATATTTATAGTTTATTTTACATGACGCTGATAAATTTATTACACCTAATTAACCTACTACACTGAAGAAGCGCCTACGGCTAAGATTTAATGTAAAACGGTCCTGTGTAGCTCGCTATAGACTTCTCCCACTCTGATCGCCAATGCGCGAAGCAAGTCCATTCTCTCGTTGGACAAGGTATAGTGCACTGTGGTTACTTTGTGATTTAGTTTATTCTGTATAGAAGCAGGTGTTCCTGGAATAGTTGGAACAATTAAACTGTGGTGCCCTTTTTTAGCCATTTTGAAATTTTAACGGAGATCTTTCGAACAAATTTTTTCTTTATGCTTCCCCTAAAAAGTTACAGCCCTTTCTAGGTGGTGGTAAAAATCAGACTCAAAATTTTACAAGACAAAAAGTACATTTTTTTAAATATAAAAAAGTGTTACATTTCTGCCAAATGTGTTCCTGTATCTGCATCCGTTTTATAAAAAAAAAAAAATAAAAAAAATTGAGACCTACCCCCATCTAGAAAGTGCTCTTAAGTTTTTAGGATAGGCTTGGATGAAAAAATTTTATGTGAAACACAAATTACATTGTTAAACTATTTCCAGGACACTAGAATTACAGTACCTAGATAATGAAGATTATTATAGTTTATAATATGATCATTGTTTTTTAGACTTTGAAAATGTTGTATTAGAAACATTAGCTAGGCTAATGGAAAATGTTGAGCAGCATTCAATCATATTGGATGAATTAGTCCGATATTCATGAACCACCAATAAATTAGTTTCTCCTGAAAACTTGCCCGAGTTTCCTTTAAAGAATATTGATTCTTTTAAACAATTTGAGGCAATGTTGGAAAGTGATAAAACACTGTGGGAATATATGGTAAACAAAATAAAATTATAAATATATTTAAAGATGACTGTGCATTTTATATTACAATTTTAAAATATTGTGGATAACTATGTAACACTACACTAATTCCATACTATTAAGTCATTGCATAATATAAAATTTAAATTTTGTTTGTTACCACATCTATATTTAGTGAATAATAAAAACCTCGAAAGAATTACTAAATTAATATCTAGTTGACTTTCCCTAAGAATTTTCTAAATATTCCATCCCTCAATTTATCGATAGCATTTTAAATTTAAAATATTTAAAATGTTTAAATTTATAGTATGTGTTGCATTTTATTATGTGTAAATCTTTGATAGGGTAGAAATAAAATACTTTTATCTCTTTTCTAATATTTTTTATGAAAATACATTTTTACTTATTTTTTGAGTAGTAGAATATTTTCAATGTCAGAAAACTTAAAACTTAACATAAAATCCACAATGGTTTATAAAGTGTTTCAGAAAGATATGAAGAAAGTTTTAAGAATGGATTCTACAGTACAGAATACAAAAAAAATCATATAAATATGGGTCCACAAATGCTTTGGTTTCAAAACACAGGGCATTGAAAAATCATTTCAAAAAATGTGCATGCATTCAGGCACAAGGAGGACATTTTGAACGAATTTATAATGTCCTATTATTAGTATACCATTTAATATTACATAGTGTTATTGTATGCTATAAAAATGTTCATTAATACTCTTATTGCTGCGTGCCGAAATTTTTTAAAGTTGGAAACAGGGTTTACGAAATATACCAAAATAATGTTCAATGATCTGTATTTTGAAACCAAATAAGCAGCTGATAACCCATGTTTATATGAACTTTACTGTAGAAGTCCACTCTTAAAGTTTTCTTATATATTTCTGAAACAACATGTGTAAGGTATGATATTTATAACATAGTATAACAAATAAACGATAATGTTGCATTTTTTAAGCTATTTATATCATCTAATCATATCATATCTTAAAATACACAATTTGTGAAAGAAATGTTTTAGCTTGGACTATTTTAGGTAAAACGGTTGGCAGCATTAGGTAGATTTAGCATAGAAAATTCTAAGGATTCTAGAAGGATTCAGAAGGATTCTAAAATATATCATGAATAATGAGGTTTTATATAACTGGAAAGGAAGAAACAAGATATCTTTTGAAAAATCTAAAGTAATGAAACTGATTTATGGTACAGTTATTGTGTTATGTTGTTTATTTTTTTTTTAATATTTTTGTTGTATTGTTTATTTTTTTTTTAATATTTTTGTTGTAGCTGCTATGAAGATTAATTATTATCAACAAAACAGAAACCACACTTGCTCTGAATTAAATTAAAAAAGAAGCATTGTAGAGGCAATGTTTATATAGCAAATTGATATTATTTTTCAATATTCTATTGTCCTTCGAATGTTGTGCCATAGTTAACGTAACATATTTTTGTAAACCCAAATGACAAAAATAAAAACTTGAAAGTTCTTTCTAAATGATTGTTGATTTCATAATTAACTTCCTAATTTTTTTCCTATTCGTGTAAAAATCATCACCTTTTGTGCATTCAGTGTGAGATCAGTTTTTACATAATATGCATTCTTATTATAATTCTGTGGCTATCTTATGAATTAATTATATTAAATGGTGACAAATATTACGAATAACTTTCTATTTGAGAATGATTCTACAACGTTTTGTAACCTGGCAACAACTATTGGTTTTCAAAACTCGTAGCAGTAATAATTGAGGTAAGTATTTATACTGATTCTAAATTTAATTTCAATTTGTTTCATTTAAAACAGTACATGGTGATTCACAAATAATGACCAAAAACAAAACTTCCTATTTGGTGAATTTTACTAGGTGAATCTAGGACGCTATTATTTTATTTACAGAAATATACCATCTACACCCTGTATCTTTGCTACTGCAGCATCGTAATTTTAGGGAAAAGGTTCAGATATTGTGCAATAGCTATAGGTATCAAACTTAAAATTATTTCACTAACTGGTTTTTAAAATATAAAAAAAAATATTTTTAACACCCTGTATATTTTTAATGGATAGATACAAACTACATGTACAAAAGATTCCGCTTAAAATTCACCAAATATGAATTTTTATTTTTGGTCATCGTATAAAAATTTTGTTAAATAAGGATACAAAATAATATTACCTTGTGAAAAATAAGGTTGCAGTTCTACTTTTTAAGAAATATATCAAAGAATTTTGGAATGTATTTATAAGAGTTCAAAGCTATTTAAAATTCAGTTTGGTTTGATTGGTAGTGATTTCAGCCTTTAAAACCTTAGACATTTGATGGCATTTTGTAAGGAGGTAAGTAATTTTAAATTGTAATAAAAATTTTCGGAAATAATATTCATTATTTTTAATATAGCTAATACACCACGATACATGGTGTTTTCTGAAATAAGTGCTTTCTTCAAAGGGGCAAAATAGGACATGAAAATAAACAAGTATAAAAAATAATGAAAATTACTTTCTGGTTGACCCAGAAGTGTCGACTAAAAATATTTAAATTTAGAATTTCTTGACCTAGTCAAAATTATATTAGGTCCAAATGTATTCAAGATTTTGTTCACTGGCGGAAATGAAATGACGATACTTAAACTATAAACGGGGAATGTTGTTCTGATTAAAAGTATAATAAACATTCGTCTGAAAATACAGTAGAAATAATAAAATGCAATAGCACGTTGAAATAAAAGAGTTTTGTTAATATCTCGAAATAAATTGGAGACAGAATTTCATGATGATTTAAAGGATTAATAAGGATAAGAAATAAGACATTACAGTTTTTGAATATATGGATTTTTATTATATTTGTAGGCATTTGTCAATTTCACATTCATTTTTAAACAAAAAATATGTTTAGTAAGTTTGCATGGAACGATTAGTTCAAATAAAAAAAAATATGGTATTGACAAATACTGATGTATCACTGAAAATTAAAAGATTTTTTCCAATAAAGGGTACAGCACTTACACCATGGAACACCAGCAATGTATTTGTAACAAACTGCTTCTAGCTCTAATTTTATTGTCTTACATAAACTCCTTAAAGTCTCATGAAATTATATTTTCTTGTTTCAACGCTTTGTAATTTTTATTAAGTTTTTTTGGGCTTATGTTTAATAAATATGTATTACCCAGGACAAGATTTCATATTTGTGGTTTAAGCGTATGGCCGTTTCATTTATACGAGTATATAAGGTTTATTTTTGGTTTTACTTTTTATTTAATCAACGTTGAATATTACCAAACCTTTAACGTTTTTTAAACTTTGAAGAAAACGTTATTTTAAGTTTAAAAAATACGTTGTATAAAACGTTATTAAAACGTCACGTGTGCTTTCATAGACGTTAACAAACCGTTTTCCAAAAACGTTTCATAGTTGTTTAATTACTATGTTATTTAAACGTTATTTTATGAACGTTTGCATTTTGGTTGAAAATAGCTCTTAATAAACCGTTTTCAGAAAACGTTTCTTAATTGTTTAATTTCTATGTTATTTAAAGGTTGTTTTATTAACGTTTGCATTTTGGTTGAAAATAACGTTACATTGCGCGACATTTTGTCGTTGAATCAACCTTTAGTTTTCAACAATTTTTCAACGTTTTATAAACTTACCCGTGCCCATTGGATTTGGGCTAAAAGTTCTTAGTACATAAAAAAAATCAACGGTTCAATCCTTCAATTGTTTGGATTTTTTTTTTCTTTGTAAAAATCATTTGATTTGTTACTTCTTTCTTAAACACTCACTTTTTTCATTTTTTTATGTTTACAAATAATTTTAATTATTTTGAATAAATCAGTTAAATTATTAAACTCAAAATGTGTTGGTGGAAGTATTATTATTTTTTCATACAAATTCAAGTCTCAAGCAAGGTTTTTATTAACACCGTGATCGATGCTGTATAACATGAGTCGGTGGCATGAGACTAACTCTTTTGCCTAGCGTCAGGGAAAGCCAGGTTCGAATCCTATACAAAAGTTTTTTTTAATTTCTATTTTATTTCGAATTATTATTAAATTTTTATTTTATTTATAAATTATTTTATCTTTTAAACTAAAAAATTTTGTATGTATATACTAAAGTAAATAACCATTTAATGTACTAAGAAACATAAACTCGTTTAATCGGTCTTGAAAAATGCTCTTGATTTGAGTGTCGTTATTGTTAGTATATAGATACTTNCATAAAAAGAAATCATCATCATCACATCAAATTTGTAATAATATTTATTTATATTTTAATTTTAAATTAATCAATTAAGTCCTATTTTTAACGTTTAAATTATTTAAATTAACTACTTACAGGTTATCTGGAAGTATCTAAAATAATTAATTATGTTTCAACAATTTCAATTTGATTTTTGTAGAGCTAACGGTATTCGTTGCAGATATTTGGCAAAAAAATTGGTGCATCAATTTAATTTTAATTGAAAATTATCAGATCAACGTAATTTGAGAATTTTTGAACTGCGAAATACTTTTAGAGTAAAAATTTTTAGAATGATTTATCTACAAAATTTATTCAGTAAAATGATACTGAATAGATTTTTGGAAAATTTTTGGTGAAATAACATCAGATGTCTCTAATTTTAAAAATCTCAATTGAAATCAATTGTACAGTATAATAAGAAAACTGCATAGTAAATTTACTAAGAATTCTTATGGTAAATTTTTAAATAAAATTACAAAACTATATAGTAAAATCACCAATAAAATTGTCTGTAACCGCTGTATAATTTCCAAAAATATTTTGTAATTTTATCAAACCCAATTCAAGTGAATTGGGTGGTATAGTTACAAAACTGCACAGTAAATTTACTAAACATTTTTATGATCAATTATTGAATAAAATTACAAAACTGTAAAGTTACTAATCAAATTTTCTGTAACCGCTTGATAAATTTCCAAAAATATTTTGTAATTTTATCAAACTCAATTCAAGTGAATTAAATTAAGTGGTATAGTTACGAAACTGCATAGTAAATTTACTAACCATTTTTATGATACATTATTGAGTAAAATTACAAAACTGTATAAAAAAATTACTATTCAAATTTTCTGGAACTGTTTGGTAAATTTCCAAAAATATTTTGTAATTTTCTCAAATTGAGTTGAAGCATTCTGTTAAGTAAATTTACTAAATTGTTTTCCGTTAAAACTTCCTACACATTTTTAGTAAAATTACCAGACATTTTTAACAGTGTAGAAAATAGAAGTATTTGTAGTATTTAGATGTATGTACTTATTTTAGATTTATCAGAAGATAAATATAAAAGCCTCGTAAATACGTAAAGTGATATTTTCGTGCAGTTGCAGGAAATAAAACAAGACATATTGAAAATAAATAAGTGTTCACAAATAAACCTAGAAGAGCAAGAGCAAATCGCTAAACGAATTTGAAACCACAACACATTTTGCTTAAAAACAAGCGGTGCACACTGTATATGGAAATTATATTACTGTAACCCTAAGAAAGTGCTCCATCTTAATAGGCTGTATAAAAATATACAAGGTGTTGTACTTCAAAAAATTGAGGTTGCCTTTGCTTCTACATTTTTTGCCATTTTGTTGATTATTTTGAGTCCAAAGGGTGGTACATGAAAAGCTATAAAACTTTTGTATAAAAATTTTTTTTCTAATTCTTACAATAAACCTTCTACCCGGTTTAAAAATAAATAAACACTCTGTACACGTGTTCCTGCTGTTTTTAGTAGTAGTTAACGTTACCACTTTATTATAATATATTTTAGCTATTTTTGTAGTGGGAGGCACTGCACCACAATGCACAGATACAGATACACCAATGGAATCTCCGGTACCAATGCAGACTCCAAAAACTCTCAGTTCACATTCTCCACGAAAGGAGAAATTAAGGAAAAAAGTGAGAGCTGAGAAGACAGAATGTTGCAAGTGACAAAACAGATAATCCTATTTATTTATTTTATAAATTTATAAATGCTTGTTTAGTAACAATTATTGGGATTAAGTGTTTGTGGGCTCATCTGGAGAAATATGGTTTTAATTACATTATGACAAGAATAAAACAAAACTGTCTGGAAAATTTCTTTGGCAACGTGCGTCAACAGGGAGGTAGCTGCATAAACCCCACACCAAATTGAATATTTGGAAGGGCTTTTAGAAAACTATTTTGTTAAAATTATTTTCATAGTGATAATACAAATTGCGCAAATGATTTTGGATACCTACTTGCTTAAAAAATTCATTGGCATAAATTGTGAAAACATAGACGAACCGAGCACAAATGAACCAGCTAAAAATAATTTATTGGCAATTGGTGAAACTGATTATAGAAATGAATCCTTATTAGCGCAAAATGCTTTCACATATGCTTGTGGCTATCTTATTAAGAAGGCATCGACTGTTCACAATTATACGGTTTGTTGGGGAGATTTGGACAGCAGTACGTTATTTACATACTTTAAAGCTTATGATACTGAA